CAGTAATACCATGGTCAGTAAACCATTTACCAGTGGTTTTGGCACTGTGAGCAGGTGCCAGGTTGTGCTGAAAAATGAAATCTTCATCTCCATAAAGCTTTTCAGCAGGTGGAAGCATGAAGTGCTCCAAAATCTCCTGATAGCTAGCTGCATTGACCCTGCCCTTGATAAAACACAGTGGACCAACACCAGCAGCTGACATGACACCCCAGACCATCACTGACTGTGGGTGCTTCACACTGGACTTCTGGCATTTGGGCATTTCCTTCTCCCCAGTCTTCCTCCAGACTCTGGCACCTTGATTTCCGAATGAAAGGCAAAATTTGCTTTCATCCGAAAAAAGTACTTTGGACCACTGAGCAACAGTCCAGTGCTGCTTCTCTGTAGCCCAGGTCAGGCGCTTCTGCCGCTGTTTCTGGTTCAAAAGTGGCTTGACCTGGGGAATGCGGCACCTGTAGCCCATTTTAGGGCTGCAACAACGAATCGATAAAATCGATAAAAATCGATGATTAAAAGCGTTGGCAACGAATTTCATTATCGATTCGTTGTGTCGCGCGATTATGCATCTTTCACGGCGCTGCGGAGCCGTTTCGTTTTGTTCACGGGCAGTTCATTGTCAATGCTGACTGACTGAATAAAGTAAAAAAAAAACTGCAGCACGAGTTGAACAGAGCGAGGCGGTGTTTTCAAAGGAAATTTAAGTAAATTTTACAAATGACCAACGCAGCGAAAACTGTTCGACCCAAGTCCTTCAAAGAGTGGGAGAACTTCACAAAGATAAAAACTGAGAAGAATGCCGCTTTGAAAATTGCCGACACGACACGGGAGAACCACGGAGATAAACATAAACATGTTGGAGTCACGAGGAGGAGGAAGGAGCTGCAGCAGATACAACTCTTCATGTGTTGCAGGTGAGTCTCTACAATTTAACACATTGTTCTGTTTCAAGAGAGAAAACGTAACGCCAGTCTGTCTGGTAGATGAAGCTGCTGTTTGTTTGTTTGTTTGTTTGTTATCTGATTAATAACGGTGATAGAGAACGTGTGTTACTTTTTATTTAATTTAATTGGTACAAGCAGTGTTTAAATGTGATTTATAAATAAATCTAACACAAAGATAATAATTTAATGATTAAGCTTCAACTTTTAATTTGCTGGCAAAGTCTGAAGACACTGCAGGTATGGCTGGATGAATTGCATTTAAAAGGAATTAAAGTAATTTATTACATCTACTCAAATGTGTGTAATTAAGTTTTTTATATGTGTGTGTGTGTGTGTGTGTGTGTGTGTGTGTGTATGTGTGTGCGCATATGTGGTTTAGTCAAACCTTTGACCTGACTACGCACCGACATTATCCGGACCTGTTGGTATTATAAGGACTATGCTAATGTCTGCCTAAATCAAAGATTGTATCCAAATATTTTAGCATCTAAACATTGTGTTTTCTCATGAATCTAGGGGTAATTTGTGGCTACATCACTGCCTGCATGATTTGGACTGTGTTTTGGCATTTAAAATTGTTTTAATAAAAAGTTATTTAGATTTATGTAATTGGCCATCTATTGCCCTCACCCGTTTTTTGTGTGTTTTTGTGTATGAAACTGCGCTTTTTGACTGTACAGGATAGTGTATGAACTGCAATTTAATACACATTTTTTATACACACCGCGCCAAATTATTGAGCCCTCTTTGAGTGGCTTGGGAAACCCCGTTTGTGGGCTGGGCCTCAGGTGAGCCGAGGCTTTAAAAGTTAAACTCCCCTGGAAGCACGTGGACTGGATATCATGGCACATTAAGAGCACACAGGTAAGAATTAATTATAAATAAAATGTATTTTTGCTTTGAGGACATTATCTCTAAGTAAATGTTAGCTTGCAGGGTAAGTTAAAGAGCTAGATGGATTATGTTTTTGTATATTTTTAACAAAAATAAAATAGGCAAACTTTATCAACATTTATATCAATTAGCAACAATATCAATTCACGAGTTGTGAGTGTTTGAAGTGGTTTATTTTATTCTGGTTGTTAATACTTACAAAGTTAGTCAGGCTAAATAAGTAGACCATGCGCTGTAAAGTTAGTTTTACGTTCGTTGTTCACGCTCCGTGGATTCAGCGGTGTCATCCTTTCATTTACGGGCAGTCTGATTTTGGAAGAGAGGATGACACCGCTGAATCCATGGAGTGTGAACGTTGAACGTAAAACTAACTTTACTGCAGCATGACAACCTCTGAAGGCTGGAGGAGATCTAAGCTGCGTGATTAGTCCGACAGAATTGGGGGGGGCAAAGAGGGGTTTTACTGTTTTCACTATGATTTTTGGGCCACAGCTGCTCTTAAGTTTCATTTTTCCCCTCTGAGATCAAAGCTGAGCCAGCCGAGACCCCCCCCCCCCCCCCAGAGCTTCATTACGTCATCACGGTGCGGTGAAACTCAGCAGTGAAGCAGACAGCAGGTGAGGGTGAGAACAGAAGTGACGAGCATTGGGTGAAAACTGATTGTTTGCTGCTCTGTACATTTGCTGCATGAGTAATGTTTAAACAAGCTTTTTGAAAACATTCTGTGTGCATGAACAGGTCAGTAAAGGACAAGGTATTAGTGTTAATAAGTTGTGTAACACAGGGGTGAGAAGACATCCAGTGTTTAGTTGGCAACTGAGCGTTCACTGTTTAAAGCTATGAAATCCAGAGCTTCTGTCCATCTTTAGTCGTTGCTCTCTGTGCTAATAAATAATAAAAGAAACATAAATCTGGGGGGAAAAAAATCCAAATTCATCACACATCAAGAAAATTATGCTTTTTTTTTCTGACTCCATGTTAAAAGTATTATTCAGATATGCAACAAAGTTTAGTGTGTGAAGAAAGTGACAAGTGAGATGTAGAAACTGGGCATGGTATGAGAGCAGACATCTATAAATATGAACTTGTTTGCCATATGGTACTTGTTTTTTTTATGAATGTAACATTTGGGGTTTAGTTAATATGCATGTTGAGATAAAACAGTATGTTTTTATCAAAGATAAGTAGTAGTAATTTGTCAGTTTGTGAGCTAACACTTGTTTGGTGCAACAAAAATGAACTAATCTCTCAGCATGTGGCTGAAGTGCAGCCTTTTGCAAGGCTTTTGTAAGCCTTAATAATAATACAAATTATTTTAATTGTTATAGATACCAGATCCTTTTTAACATAGTTTAGTAAATGTCACTTATCTAGTTGTGTATGTTTCTGCTGTGTACATCACAAGTGATTTGTTTCTAAGTATATTAAAATAAGGACATCGCACAATAATTAACATCAGTGTCGTATATTAATGTAAATGCACTGGAATTAGCTCAGTAGCCAACTTCCATCCATAGTCCTAAAGCAGGTAAAATATATAAAGACAGACATAACTTATAAGTGTACATACATAACACAAAATAAGTGACAAATCAGTCCAGCAAACAATACACAACAAACGTTACACTTTAAGTTTCCCAGTCTAGATGGGCTTAGCTGTAATCTTCATTTCAACATTGTTTGCTCTGCAACTGAAGACAGTAATTCTGACATTTTTTTCTTTCATTACAGTTTTTTACACAACAGTGAAACATGCAAAGGCAAAGACGAAAGAATCCAAAGGAAGATGCAAAATATTATGTTGATAATGGAAAGGACAAAGAGGGCCTTGTCATCAAATACATCAGTGACCTTAAAGGTATGTGGAACTTTATTAGTGTTAACAAAAAATATGATTGGTTCCTATAATTTATTTTTATTTAACTAGGTCGTGGAATATTTGCAAATACATCCTTTGTAAAAGGAGACTTTCTGTTGGAATATCGAGGTGAACTGATCAGCAAGGAGGAATGTGAGCAGAGACAACGGGGCTACAATGATAGACTGAAAGTGTTTTTATTTGAATTCTACTTCAATGGAAAACTGTGGTGGTGAGTATGTTTTATATCTAGTTATTTTTAGCATTAAGAATAAGCTGTCATTGTGCCAGACATGATTGATAAAAGGCTTTTAATGGTAAGGTAATGTATAATGCAGGCAAGAGTCTTTGTATCATTTTTAATTATATGTTATGTATATGTAGTGTTGATGCAGCAAAAGAAGATGGGTCACTTGGAAGGCTTGTAAATGACGACCATATCAACCCAAATGCCAAGATGAAGTACCTAACGCAGCAAGGAAAGCCCCATCTGTGTTTGTTTGCAATTAAAGATATAAATCAAGGAGATGAGATCACCTATAATTATGGTGACTCAGACTGGCCATGGAGATGCAAGGTAATTGTAAATTTTACTTTATGAATGTGATCATGCTTAAACAAATGATTGTTTGATCATACAGGTTTACAACAGATCTTTCA